ACTTTCTCTGAGCAGGACCTTTCTGGCTTCCCTTTGTACCCCGAGGAACCAGTACACCTCGTGGTCCTGCTCCTGATGGTGAGTCTGCTTTTCAAACAGTTAGAGTCATTTGGATGTGAGTTCTGAGACAGCATCTCCCTTCATGCTGCACAGCTTCTGTAGGCAAATTCAGCAATATTAAATTGTAAACATAGTGGAGCAGTACAACCAGTGCAAACAGAAATATCCTGAGACATTTTTCAGAAGAGAAAGTGGTTGATGAAAGGTAACAGAGGAAATAAATTTACCATTGCAATGGTGTTTTTTATTAGTCCCCTTTTCTTTTTTGCCTTCTTTGCATTTATTTTGGGTTGGGATGTCTGGTTGCTTTGTATTTTTTGTTTTTAGGGAGTGGTTGAGGTGTGTGCGTGTTTGGGTATTTGTTTTTTGATTTTTTTTTTTTAGTACTTCTTTTAAGTGCTTTCTTCTTATTTTTTAATATTTTTTTTAATCAAAGGCTTTTTTTTTTTATTCTGTTTTAAACTGTTAACATTTTGTAATAGCGTTTCCTTGCAACCATAACCATTTCTGCTCGGTGCACTTCCTTGTGTCTTAATACTTACTTTCACTGAACAGCTATTTTGCAGCCTTGTGTTTCACCCGAAGCAGCCATTACACCTCCTGCTCCTGCTCCTGCTCCTGCTCCTGCTCCTGCTCCTGCTCCTGCTCCTGCTCCTGCTGGTAAGTGTGCATTCAAGAAATTTAACTTGCTTGGATGCGGCCTCCTGGATGGCATCTTCCTTCATGCTGCACACTTTCTGTAGGCAAAGACAATTCTTAATTGTAAACATAGTAGAGCGATAAAACTAGTGCTAACAGAAATGTTCAGGGACTCTTCAGCAGAGAAAGAGGATGTGAAAGCTAACACAGGGATTAAAAATACAACTATAATTTTTTTTCTCTTGGTCTGTGTTTGCTTGGATATTTTTTATTTCGTTTTGGATCTGGTTAGTTGGTTGGGTTTTTTTGGTTTTGGGGAAGAGTAGTGGTGGGTGGGTGGCTGAGTGGGTGGTTGTTTGATTTTGGATTTTTTTTCTTTTATTACTTCTTTTAATTTATTTTGGGGTTTTGGGTTTTTATAAACTGAAGACTTTTTACTTTCTTTCTGCTATAAACCATTAACATTTTGTAACAGCCTTTCCTCGCAACCATAACCATTCCTGTTCTGTGCATTTCCTAGTTTTTTAAAATTTACTTTCTCTGAACAGAATCTTTGCAGGTTCACTTTGAACCTGAAGCAGCCACTTCACCTCCTGCTCCTGCTGCTGCTCCTGCTTCTCCTCATGATGGTAAGTCTACTTTTCAATCAATTGTAGTCACTTGGATGTGGGTTCAGAGCCAGCATCTCCCTTCATGCTGCACATCTTCTGTAGACAAATACAGCAATACTTATTGCATGTTCTTGTTTTTTAAGATTTACTTTCTCTGAAGTAAATTTACTTTCTATTGACAGAATCTTTTTGGTGTCACTTTGAAACCCAAGCAGCTGGTAACATGTACTATGTACTAGTTTGAAAACAAAGCAGCGGGAGATTCTAGGTCAGAACTACAATCTAAGAGGAAAATTAAAATAAAGGCAGAAAACACTGGCTTAAACAGACAGAGTCAGGATGTAACCTGGCACTCTGTTGGTCAGGTTCGGTGGTGGTAGCAGTCCAATTAAATGGTGGCTGCAGTCCTGTTGAGTGATAGATGTGGTTCTGCTGAAGCGGGGATCCTGTAGAAGGGGGTCGTGGTTTTAAAGCACTAGCTAAAAAATCACTAGAAAACTTACTCATTTCTTGCTGTGAGATATGGATTAGAAGAAGGGCAAAACAGTCTTAAAGCTTAAAAGGAATAAGGAAAGTTTATTAGCAAAACTACAAGGATAAGAAACCAGAATAAAACCTCCAGAAACCCTTTTTCCCCACCACCCAACCATTCCCATGTTTAATTGGCAACATAGAGACAAAACCTGGTGGTTAAAGCAGTCACAACTTGGCTGTAGTATTTTTATCAGTCTTTGTAGAGAAAAAGAAGTTCTCTTTTGTCATTTTATGGAGAGTTTTTCACAAGAAAACCATTTTCTTATGGCTTTCTACTTCTCTGGTGCCAGCTGACCGGAAAACTCTGCCATCAGTCCTTTCCTCCTATTTCACACCACTCTGAGGTGTGTTTGTGGGCCATTATTCAAGAGGTGTCATTTTAAGGATGAGTTATTCAAAGGCAAAAGTTCTCTTCATCTGTCTCTGTGATCATCTCTGAAAACGTAAGTTTTCTCTTTTTCTCTTAAAGGCCACAGGTCTTCAGCAACTCTCACTTCTCTTTTTCTGTTCCAGCATCTCATAGGATCACAACTTCTTCACCATTTACTCACCTCCATCAATTAATTACTTTTGCTTAGATCTACACTGAAATACTTAATCTCCCTAAAATACTTTGTCATGAATTAAAGGAGATTTTTCAGAATATTATTGTCCATATCCATAGTTTTAACAAAAGAATATTTCAGCCTATTAGTGCATCTTATTCTCTTCCCATCTGAGGCTTAATTCCTTTCCTCACTGGCTTTGATAGTTTATGTTGTCTCTTTACCTGTTGATCAGTCTCTCTCTTCCTCTCTCTCTGGAAAAAGGATTAATCTGCAAGTCTCATCTGTGTAGTGAAAGGGTAAAAATCTGGCTCAAGCCGCAGCAGGTATTCATGGTGCCGGGTTTTAGCTCAGCGACGCTTAGAGTCACACACACACCACCCCACCCCCCCCCCCCCCGGAAAC